ACACCGGAGACAAACCCTACATGTGTGGGGTGTGCGGGTACAGGACAGCTGTCAGGTCTAACATATCCAGGCATGTAAAAATGCATACAGGAGAAAAACCATACAAGTGTGACCAGTGTGACTACTCTGCTGCACAGAAAGTCAGTTTAGACCATCACATGGCTAAACACACCGAAGACAAACCCTACATATATGGGGAGTTAGGATACAGGACGGCTGACAAGACTTGCCTATCCAGGCATATGAGAGAACATACAGGCACAGCACGAAAACGCATATTTAAGCCAACTTTACGAACTGCGTTAAGAGGTATTAAAGGCGGCGAAATATTTAAGCAGCCTTTACGACATCGGAAAGGCAACTGAAAGGGAAATATCGCCTTTCCGTAACCTTTCCACATGTGTAAATGTCACGTTAATATAACGTGTTTCTTTCCGTAAGCTTTACATGGACTTAAATGTAATGTAAAGAAAGCATTGCGGTAATGAGTTAACTAGAAGCATCTCAAAGCCATATGATCTTTTTGATTATTATGAATAAAGTCCTTACCCACCTCGCGCGACTGAACACAAGCATTTTATATGCTTTTTCATATTTGGTTTTACCTGAAATATTAGATATATTCCATGATTTCTCGCTGAATCGCCGCAAAATCTAACATTAATATGCCAAGTCATTTCTAGATGTTTATGTCTGGCTTTCCAAAAACATACGGTTCCTTTCCTTGTTCTATAAACAAGCTTTCCGCCGACGGAGAGACATCTCCCCTATACAGTATAGGCGTCGTTTAGCTGCAGGAAATGTTGCGTTTCTTTGTCTTTCCTACCGTCGCCAAGTTTTCTCTAAATTGAAGCAATCGCCATGTTTTTTTACACATATTTGGGAGCGACCAAATATAACAACACCATGCCTAGTCCATTCTATATGTTTATGTCTGGCTTTCCAAAAACACAGTATTACGGTTCCTTTCCTCCTTCTATAAACAAGCTTTCCGCCGACCGAGAGAAATCTGCCCTATACAGTATAGGCGTCGTTAAGCTGCAGGAAATGTTGCGTTTCTTTGAATCTTGCGAACTTCTAAGTAACAGAGAATCGGCCCTAAAAGTCTGCAATAACCTGCAATGGGACGACATAATATTGAGGAATTCGCTATTTCAAAATCTTGTCCGGGAGATGTATGGAGCGGATGAAATTATTGTTTTAGTACAGAACCGGTATATGCTAAAACTGGCCGGGTTGCCAGCAGTTTTGTCCGAGGCTAGGGTAGGCAAGAAATCTTGCGAACTTCTAAGTAACAGAGAGTCGGCCCTAAAAGTCTGCAATAACCTGCAATGGGACGACATAATATTGAGGAATTCGCTATTTCAAAATCTTGTCCGGGAGATGTATGGAGCGGATGAAATTATTGTTTTAGTACAGAACCGGTATTTGCTAAAACTGGCCGGGTTTCCAACATTTGTATCCGAGGCTAGGCTGGGCAAGAAATCCTTGCGAACTTCTAAGTAACAGAGAATCCGCCCTAAAAGTCTGCAATAACCTGCAATAGAACGATATAATACTGAGGAATTCGCTATTTCAAAATCTTGTTTGGGAGATGTATGGAGCGGATGAAATTATTGCTTTAGTACAGAACCGGTATATGCTAAAACTGGCCGGGTTGCCAGCATTTTTGTCCGAGGCTACGGTAGGCAAGAAATCCTTGCGAACTTCTAAGTAACAGAGAATCCGCCCTAAAAGTCTGCAATAACCTGCAATAGAACGATATAATACTGAGGAATTCGCTATTTCAAAATCTTGTTTGGGAGATGTATGGAGCGGATGAAATTATTGTTTTAGTACAGAACCGGTATATGCTAAAACTGGCCGGGTTGCCAGCATTTTTGTCCGAGGCTAGGGTAGGCAAGAAATCCTTGCGAACTTCTAAGTAACAGAGAATCCGCCCTAAAAGTCTGCAATAACCTGCAATAGAACGATATAATACTGAGGAATTCGCTACTTCAAAATCTTGTTCGGGAGATGTATGGAGCGGATGAAATTATTGTTTTAGTACAGAACCGGTATTTGCTAAAACTGGCCGGGTTTGCAGCATTTGTGTCCGAGGCTAGGCTAGGCAACGTTATCAGCCAGGAACCGATAATTTCTGAGTCAACAACCTATCAGAAATTTACTACGGTCCGTGCCAGTACGTAGGGCGCTGTATGTACTGTAGACTATTTCTATTTGTTTATATACGTCGCTCTCCCAAAACTTGCGGTTTCTTTCATTGCTTCTTTTATACAAGCTTTCCGCCAACTTTCCCCCTTTCCTTGTATGCTTTGTTATAAAGCTACTTTTATTTTTTTCCGCCGCAAAGTTTTCTTTCTTATAAATGCCGAATATTCTTTGCAGCAAGAGTTCAACAGTTAAAAAATCATGGATGCACAGGCATTACTAGTATTTCTAGTTTCTTTAGCCTATTTGTTGTGTTCAGGCAACGAGGTTCCTTTTTGTTTTCCAAATGTGAATTTATTCATTGCCAACCCGTGAACAAGCCCGAACGCCATTCATATGACAAGACCGTTTGGGGAATCTCCGCCCTTTCTGCCTGGAGGAGGTCATGTGACAGGCCTTTACCCAATGATAGACAAGAGTGGGTTTTTCAAATCTACTGAATATACCAGTAGTCATTTTGCTGTGCGTCTACTCTATGGAGGCTTGGACTCGTTTGAACCCGCAAGTTGTGTCCAAGACATTGCTTTTATCACCAGAAGTGGCCACGACGGGACTAAGACAAATCTATACCATTCTGTACAAGTCTGTGGGATGGCGTAGATTGGAGATACATTGTACTAGTATTGGACATGTCACGGCGCAGAAGGGGAAGATCACGGCCGTATTGCATCGTGCTAACCGGGAGCAGCACAGAAGTTGAGCAAGAGCGCGACCTGACCATCACGGGAACAAGTTAGCGGATTATTACTCTTGCGGTGACCACATCACATGGAATAGCGGGAAAATGGACACAGGAATTGGAATAGTGGCTGTGTACTCGGATACAACAAAGGAAAACCTGCCCTGGTAGCCAGTCTGGATCGGGCCTTCAGCCAGTCCCCGTCGGCGGAACATGGCAGTATGCCCGCCAATCTACATGGGCGCTACGGGGGAGTTAAGAACTCCGAGTGGAGTTTGCCGCTCGGGCAGCTACTCCCCCGACGGCCTAGCCTGGATGAAAGGCACACTAGAACTTTGGGTATATTTTGCTATGGCATCCAGGCTACCGACGGCCCTATCCAGCCAGTCTACCAAGGCAGGAAAGGCTACCTATGGCACAGAAATTTACTGTTCATTAACGGCAAATAAACGCACAAATAAAGCAAAATAAACGTCAATATTACGCACACGTTAAGGATACTTTACGACACCTTTAAGCGTACAGCAAAACCCGAAAACCATGACGGAAAGAAGTTTTAAAGGCCCCCAATAGACTACGGAAAGGCTACAATAAACGCATGCTTTCCGTGCAGGTTCCGACGTAAAATGTATGACGTAAAGAAATGTTAAAGGTACCCAAAAGATTACGGAAAGGCCAGAATAAACACATGCTTTCCGTGAAGGATTCGTGGTAAAGGGCACGGAAAGATTTGCTTAACTACGCCTTTAAGCATCTGAAAGTCGCGGAAAGGCACCGTGAAAGTGGGAAAATAAATGCCCTTTCCGAACTTCCGGAAAGTCCACGTTAAGGCAATCTTTACGTTCGCGTTTAGGGGTCGTAAAGGTGCGGAAAGTGGGAAGAAACGCGGCCTTTACGCTGTGTTTAAGCGTGCTTAAATATCACTTTTCGTGCCGTGAGGGGAAAAACTCTACAACTGTGACCAGTGTGACTATTCTACTGCACGGAAATGCCATTTTGACCAACACATGGCTAAACACACTGGAGACAAACCCTACATGTGTGGGGAATGCGGGTACAGGACAGCTTACAAGACTCACTTATCCAGGCATATGAGAAAACATACAGGAGATAAACCCTACAGATGTGACCAGTGCGACTTTTCCGCTGCACAGAGATGCGATTTAGACCGGCACATGGCTACACACACTGGAGACAAACCTTACAATTGTCGGGAGTGTGGATTCAGGACGGCCAGAAGGTCTAACCTATACCAACATATGAAAAAACATACATGTTTGGGAAATGCGGTGACAGGACGGCTGACTGGTCTGCCCTATCCAGGCATATGAAAAAGCATATTGAGGAAACCCTGCAAATGTGACCAGTGCGACTATTCCACATACAGAAGCTATATTTAGACAAACACATGGCTAAACACACTGCTCCGTATGTGAGGGTTGCGAGACTTCATACCTGTTGCCAAAAAGTCAAGACCATAGCATGCTCGGGAAAAAAGACGTAAAACTTGGAAGTTCTGCTGCAGTACCAAGATCAGCGAGCAGAAAGCCCATATTTGACAACGTCCTTTGTCTTGCTAAGACCTACCAATATACCAAATAGCATCACAATCCATAGTTCTGAAGTTATGAGGACTGCAAATGTGCGTAGCACACACAGACAGACAGAAACACAGACCAAAAACAATACCTCCATTTTTATGGTTATAAAATTACTCCCATGTAAAAATAAAATTCTTGCCATTGTTTCTTTCCTTTAACCATTCTATATAGTAACTCATGTTTTACAGTTATATAGATTTTGATACTATTGTGCAAAAATATATAAGGAACTGAAACAGTTCCGTCCGCACGTTAATTCATTTAACCCACATTGTGAAATGAGTTAACATATACATGTACATGCAAATATAACTATTCATCATCATCATTACAATATCCACTTGACAAATATATTCTCTTTTTTGTAGAAGAACAACTGTTTAAAAATATATAGTAGACAACATTTCAATATCCGGCAAGCCGTCAGTAGCTACATAATCGAGGATCTGGGTAATCAGGTTTGTCAACTTTGACCTTTGGCCCAGATTGGATTGACCTTTACGCTTGTCCGCCATTTTGAGCCGTGTTCGGTCGTGATTTCTCTCCAATCTGAGGCGAAGTCTAACTTACATCGACTTTAAACCTATTCTGGACAGTTTGGATAGACAGGTAAGACCTTTTCAAAGTTACCGAAGTAACGGGTTCCTCCCTGGGCACCCAGTGTGGAACTCGCAAGGAAAAATTATGGCGTCGGCACTCGGGGCCCTGTGCGTTCGAAGTTCCGCACAACAATTCTAGCACTGACCGGTCAGTTTTCGAGTGCTGTAGACCCGTCAGGACTGGAATTCAAGAGCTGAACCTTGTCTCGGCGCTCGTCTTTCCGGTGCATAACTGTATTCAGCACTCGAGCGCAAGCCAGAAGTGCAGATATCGACTCAGCACTCGGCTTCCATTGTCAGTGGTTCAAAGGTCATTCAACACTGGTTATTCGGCCGAGGTCATTCGGCACCGGGATAGTCAGTGTCGAAACCCCTAAGTAACGCGTTCCTTACTGAATCTGTTCCACATTAAGCGAGAAATAGTGTCTTAGGGGGTTATGGGTTTCATTATTTTTCGGCTCAATGCGTGATTTGCGCCACGAAAGTTTCTCTTCTGTAGTACTGTACCCTATATAACGTTATATATGCTATGAAAAAATCCTGGCTAGAACACTGCGCCACACAACTAAACTCCCAGTACTTAGAAAGGAACCCATTACTTCGGTACTTTTGCAACACCTTTGTTTCCCTCCTACACACGCTGTGTCGCGGTACCGCAGCAGGTACTTCAAATCGTGATGCGTGAAAAATCTAAGGTACACATAGGGAAGAGGACACATATATAAATTTAATTATAAATTATAATTATAAATTATAATCTATATAAATTATAATCTATATGTCCTATCTGGAACATTATAATATAATGTTCCAGATAGGACACCTGATAATCCATAATGACATAATTTTCTAGTGTGCATAGGTACTGGCATTTACGGACATACTGGCCATGGTGTTCCTAGAGTTATAATATAGACATGGGTACTATGAAAACTTTTTTTCCTTCAATTTCGATTTTTTTTCTCTCTCTAAGAAAATTATGGACTGGAGAAGCTGTGAGATTCCTGTGGACGAGCTGCCAACCGTGCACCCTGGGAACGAGACAAGCAGCAGCGAGGACCCGGCAACAGACACGGAAGGACAGCAGGACAAGGAAGAGGACATTCTATCGGAGGAAACTTACGGGGCTAACTCTGTCCATCCTCCCGTACAGAGTCAAACAGAACAGACAGACGGGCCTGTGATGAAATGGACTATGGACAAACGCTACAAATGTGAGCTGTGGGACTATTCTACTGCAATGAAATGCCATTTAGACAAACACATGGCTAAACACACCAGAGACAAAACCTACATGTGTATGGAGTGGGGCTTTGGGGCGCCTGTTAGGTCTAGCCAAACCGTGCATATGATAAAACATGCAGGTGAGAAACCATACAAGTGTGACCAGTGCGACTATTCTGCTGCACATAAAGTTAATTTAGACACACACGTGGCTAGACACACCGGATACAAACCTTACCTGTGTGGGGAGTGCGGATATAGGACAGCCGACAGGGCTAACCTATCCGTGCATATAAGAAAACATACAGGTGAGAAACCACACAAGTGTGACCAGTGCGACTATTCTGCTGCACAGAAAGTCCATTTAGACGAACACATGGCTAAACATACCGGATACAAACCTTACATGTGTGGGGAGTGCGGATATAGGACGGCCTATAGGTCTAACCTAATTAATCATATGAGAAAACATACTGGGGAAAAACCCTACAATTGTAACCAGTGTGACTATTCTGCTGCACGTAAATCTAGTTTAGACATACACATGGCTAAACATACCGAAGTAAAACCCTACATGTGTGGGGAGTGCGGATACAGGACAGCCGTCAGTTCTAACCTATCCGTGCATATGAGAAGACATGCAGGTGACAAACCCTACAAATGTGACCAGTGCGACTTTTCTGCTGCACAGAAAGTCCATTTAGACGAACACATGGCTAAACACACTGGAGAAAAACCCTACAAGTGTGACCAGTGTCACTATTCTGCTGCAAACAAAAGTAATGTAGACCGGCACAGGGCTAAACACACCGGAGACAAGCCCTACAAGTGTGACTATTGCGACTATTCTGCTGCACAGAAAGTCAATTTAGTGCGACACCTGGCCAAACACACTGGAGAAAAACCCTACAAATGTTACCATTGCGACTATTCTGCTGCACAGAAAGTCAATGTAGAGCGACACATGGCAAAACATACAGGAGACAAGCCCTACATGTGTGGTGAGTGCGGATTCAGGACGGCTTACAGGTCTGGCTTATCCAGGCATATGAAAAAGCACATAGGAGAAAGACCATACATCTATGACAGTATGAGTAATGTAACTATTCCGCTGCATAGAAGCAGTATTGAGACAAACACTTGGCTAAACACACTGCTTAGAAATCCTGTATGTGAAGTCAGTGCGGATGCTAAAGATATCTACCCCACATAGACAGAACCATATACAGGAAAGAAACCACACAACCAGTTCTGATCTGTCAGACTTTTAGTCGAATATACAAGTGAAAAACAAATGACCAGATCTTCACACGGATAACGTTCAAACGTGATAAACCCTATGTTTCTGGGTATAGCGGAAACAGTGATGTTGACAGCTTTTACAATCTAACCCTAAGAGCAAGCATACGTTTGAAAAACCATTTAAATGTAACTAGTGCGTTATTGCAAAAAATGTGGCTGACATATTTTTTAAGACTAAATTGTTTTTTATGTCACCGTAGACAATGATGAGAGTTTGAATACTTTCCTCTCCATATGCTGTGTTTATAATGTTCTATATTACTCATATGTTAGTTTAAAAGTTGTCAAACCGTTGTTTATCCGCGGATTTAGATAATGTCCTTACGGACGTTTTTCCGCTTATTGCTACTTTGTCTGCTATATAGGATTCAACACCTGTTTATTCTACAGTTAATGCATTCTTAGTAAAAGAGAGACAAAGAAAAAAAGACAAAGAAGGGAGAAAATATTTGGATGTTGTAATGGGCGTGATAAATAGCAACGATTTGTTTGTATCTGTGTATATAAGCTTATTTTACAATGTTCCCTAAATGAATACAAATAAACATGTACAGTCAGTTCAAAAAAGTTTACGTGCATTTATTTCTTCTTGCAACATATCATTAAAACCTAATGTAAACATCTTTGACTTTATCAACATTGCAGCAAGATAATACAATGTGGGTACTAGGCAGTTACTAGCTCACAATATACCACATAAAACCATAAATAACTGGATTTTAGGATGGGTGTTATTTTCTTTATTTTAGAGATTTGTCACCTGTGTATTCAACTAGAAGTCCTACAGTTCCGAACTGGTTGTGTTGTTGTTTTTTCCTGTATGGTTCCTCTATGCGTGACAGATGATATATGTATATACTACAGTCACATGTGGGGCTTATCTAAAGTGTGTTTAGCCAAGTGTTTGTTCAAAGTCCGCTTCTGTGCAAAGGAACAATCACACTGGTCACACTTGTAGCGTTTTCCGGTGTGCTTTCTCATATGCCTTGCTAGATTAGACTTGTCGTGCGTCCTATAATCACAGATTTCACAGAGGATGGGTTTTTCTCCAGTGTGCATAGCCAAGTGCCGATCTAAATGGCTCTTTCGTAGAGCAGAATAGTCGCACTGGTCACATTTGTAGGGTTTTAAACCTGAATGTGTTGCCATATGTTTGGTAAGGGTAGACTTGACAGCCGTCCTGAATCCACACTCCTCACACTTGTAGGGTTTTTCTCCGGTATGTTTAGCCATGTGTGCGGTTAAATTGCCTTTCTGTGCAGCAGAATAGTCGCACTGGTCACATTTGTAGGGTTTCGAATCTAAATGAGTATTCAAATGTTTGGTAAGGCTAGACCGGCTAACTGTCCTGTATCCGCACTGCCCGCACATGTAGGGTTTTTCTCCGGTGTGTTTTAACATGTGGTGGTCAAAGTCATACTTTATCAGAGCCGAAAAGTCACACTGGTCACATTTATATGGTCTCTCATCGGTATGTTTCCTTAGATGCAAGTATAGGTTAGACTTGATAGCCGTCCTGTATCCGCACTCTCCACACACGTAGGGTTTTTCTCCGCTATGTGTAGCCATGTGTCGCTGCAAAGACTTCTGACGCGCAGCAGCATAGTCGCACTGGTCACATTTGTACGGTTTTTCTCCCGTATGTGTTCTCATGTGCACGGCTAGGTTAGACTTGTCAGCTGACCTAAACCCGCACTCCCAACACATGTGTGGCTTTTCGCCGGTGTGCTTTCTGATGTGACGGGTTAGCGCAAACTTGGTTGTCGTCTTGTAACCGCACTCCTCACATAAGAAGCGTTTCTCGCCTGTATGTTTAAGCATGTGGACGACTAACGTGCTTTTCTGTGCAGCAGAAAAACCGCACTCTTCACACTTGTAGGGTTTCTCGCCCGTATGTTTTTTGATATGTCGACACAAAGTAGATCTGCAAGCCGTCCTGAATCCGCATTCCCCACACATGTAGGGTTTGTGTCCAGAGTGTCTAATCATGTGCTGGTCCAAATCCTCTTTTCTTGCAGTAGAATGATCACACTGGTCACACTTGTACGGTTTCTCGCCTGTATGCTTTCTCATGTGTATAGTTAAGTAAGACTTGCTGACCGTTCTGTAGCCGCACTCGTCGCATATGAAGGGTTTGTCACCTGTGTGTGTAGCCATGTGTCGCTCTAAATTGACTTTCAGTGCAGCAGAATAGTCGCACTGGTCACACTTAAATGGTTTTTCACCAGTATGTGTTGTCATATGCCTAGCTAGGCTGGATATACAAGCCGACCTATGCCCACACTCACCACACTCGTGTATCTTTGGTCTTTTTCTAGCATTTTGTGCTTTACGCGAGTCCTTGTGCCTTGTATGGGCCTGTGAAAGGTGACGTGGCGATGCCTGCTTGTCGGGTGAAATCCTTCTGCCCTCTCCGCCCCTTGTCTTGTCATCAGTATTTGCCGCAGACGTCCCTTCGACAGAAAGCTCGTAGCTTGTCTTGTCCATTTTGCTGACCTACAATGAAGGAGAAAAACGTAAAAAGATTGACGGTTTTATAATTTCAAGCAAAATGCGAGAAGCTAGGTTATAAGGTGGCTTAGCAATCTACTGCCTGCTACTGTTTATTACCCTTGCCTGATTAAAACTTCGAAGACATATCTAGATCAGTTTATTCCTACTTTCCCTGTAGATTTCTTGCTGTGTGTAAGGGGTACCCGTACATGTACGTACCAGTGTGATGGATGTAATTTCCATGCACTTCGCCAGAGGGCGCAGATGCTTGGATGTCTTACCTTTCGTGAGGATATGAATGGGGGGATCTGAGTAGTCTGGCGTGCTAGACAGGCAAGGTGGCCAGGCCTGGCAGTCACCAAGGTTTTCCGTAAACCCATGTCTTAAAATACAGTATGCTATCATCAAGTTAACTCATGGGTACAGAATGTAACGTTAACATTGTTAAGTTTATTAAACCGGGTGTTACTAAGACTTAAAAAAATTAGGACAAAGGCCACTAATTCCAGCAAGCACTTTGCATGTTTTAGAACCCTGCCTATGTGTTTTGTAGGGTAGATAACTTTTGACAAATTTTTCTTTCCGACACAAATTTTTTCTTCCCATGGTCTAATTTACGTCTTTGCTTTTTATCTGTTTGTACACTTCTTAATACATGCATAGGGTGATTATGGGCAACATATAATGTTACTGTTGTTCATTGACTCTGTTATCCGGCTGATATTCGACCTTCAAAAATCAATACATTCGATATGCCCCCCCCCCCTCCCTCCCATATAAACCAAATTACTAGACAGATTTTCCTCGATTGACACCCCTGATTTGAGCTATCTGCTGCCGTACCGCGACACAGCGAGTGTAGGTGATCAGCAAAGGTCTTACCTGTCTTTCAAAACTTTGCAGAGTAGATGCGGAGTCGTAAGTAAGATGGAAATCGCCTCAATATTTTGAAGAGAAATGACACGTCATCACACACCTACGGCTCAAAATGGCGGAAACGCATACAATCAGTCGACGGGCAAAGGTCGAAAAGGACAAATCCGTTTGCAAATATTTGTGTACAAAGTTATAAACTCAAGTGAACCCTCGTCACTCACCGATGCCATCTAGCGACCTGCAATGGTACAGTGCTCCATTTACAAGGTAAATGCAGTATTCGGCGATGAAGTTATCGAATGTGGGCAAAATGCAACCATTCCCCAGACAGAAAGGCGTCTCTTTTGCAATTTGATAAACAGGAGAATCCGGCTATCGAAAACAGACTTGGCGGAATTACAAGCGTGTTTTGTCGGACTGTATTTTTCTGACCGTATCGTTCTGATCGCTCATTTTTCTGATCTTTGCCGTGAGCTAGTTTAACTGGATCCCACCCCGCAAAAAATCCCACTCCAGTTGATAAACTAGAGCGCTCACACCCCTGCACACAGGATAACTTTGAGCCTAGTGTGCTATGAGTCTGGCACCCAGGCTATGCCGTGAGCTAGTTTATTAAACCGGACCTCATCCCGTAAACCACACCGCACGCGCTGGCGGACAACACTCCTGGCACCGTGGTCAATCCCGGAAGCTCGCGGTGGGGTTTCACGGGTTTACAGAACTGTCAACTTTAGAAGTAGCACCATGAAGGGAATATGCAGACCTCAGTCCATCTGACTGCTGAAATCACCAATATACGAGTATCACGCGTACTGTATTTGAAAAAAATAAATGGACGCTTTGGAGCTTATGCACTATAATAATGACCGCTAGTGCACTATACCATCGCCCGATCGATAACTGATCTTAATCACTGCCACCGTTTCCATGTTCTGGGTTTTAAAAAAAGCATAGAAATATAAGCCGAGCAACCCCCCCCCAGTCCTGCTAAGCATTGGTATTTTTCTGACAGTCTCTTTCTGATCGCTCATCTTTCCGACTGTTGTCGTGAGCTAAGGTGACTGAACTATACCTGTAAAACCGTACAGCGAGCGCGAAAGGTGAGCTGGGCGGGCGGACATCACATCCGGCACCGAGGAAACCCCGCCAAAACTCGCGGTGGGGTGGTGCAGGTCTACAGAAGTGCCAGCTTTAGAAGTGGCATCATGAAGGCATATATGCAGACCTCTTTGTCCATCTGACGCCCGAAATCAACGATATTCTATATAAAGTATGTAGTGGTACGCAAACTGTAGTTAAAAAATAGTTGACACGTTTGGATGCTTTAGAGCTCATGCATGTATACATCTTGCACTACGAAAAGTGCAAGATGCACTATACCATTGCGTCGCGACTTTTCTTATTCACTGCTACCGTTCCCATGTTCTGGGTTTTGAAAAAGTATAGATTAGCTAAGCAACCATTCCACGAACTTGAATTGCAGGCGTGTTTACCGGTCCCACTCCTGCCAAGCATTGGTATTTTTCTGACAGTCTCTTTCTGATCGCTCGTATTTCCGACTGCTGCCGTGAGCTAGGTGACTGAACTATACCCGTAAAACCCCACAGCGAGCGCGAAAGGTGAGCTGGGCGGGCGGACATCACATCCGGCACCGAGAAAACCCCGCCAAAACTCGCGGTGGAGTGGTGCAGGTCTACAGAAGTGCCAGCTTTAGAAGTGGCATCATGAAGGCATATATGCAGACCTCTCTGTCCATCTGGCCCCCGAAACCAACGATATTCTATATAAAGTATGTAGTGGTACGCAAACTGTAGTTAAAAAAATTAGTTGACAAGTTTGGACGGTTTGGAGCTCATCCATGTATACATCTTGCACTATGAAAATGACCGCAAGTGTCCTATACCATATATTGCGTCGCGCGATCGATAACTTTTCTTATTCACTGCTACCGTTTCCATGGCCTGGCTTTAAGAAAAGTAAAGAAATATTAGCTGTTCCACCATTCCACGGACTTGAATTGCAGGGATGTTTTACCCACCTTGTATTTGTGTGTCAGAATGTCGAAGGGCAAGGGAAAACAGCCGGCACGGCTCTCTTGCCAACTTCATAAAACAGATCATAACAGAATAGAATGTGTCTGACATTATCTCTTGTTACATCATATGCCTTCGTAATAAAATGGAATCAGAAGTTATTGGCATTTATTTTCAGTCCAAATTTCAACAGAAGTATTATTAAACGATATTCAGTGGTTTTATTGCTCAATAGCAAGGAGCTGCCACGGCACACTTCCTGCGTCACTGCTGAAGTACTTCCTGCGTCACTGTTGAAGTACTTTCGAAAGTAGGCCCTCGGTTACTTTTGCGACGCACCAGTTCTGCCTGCCTCTCTTCTTCAGCTACCAATGCCAGAAGACCTACATGTAGGTTGTCACCAATCTCAATCTCAGACGGGCTTGTAAGTTGTTTGCAGGTTGCACTGAACGCTGCATCGCCAACTTCAGTATACTCTTTACTTGACGTGTACTCTTTACTTGAAGTGAACGGTAGCAGGCAGTGCAGCGCTTATATGTACCTGCTCAAAAACACGAGAGGAGCCCGTCGGGATCCCGCCAGGAACCCGCCAGGGACGTGACAGCTGCCCGGCCGAACTGTAAGAGCCGGTCGGCACCCTACCACACGCCGCACGGGTCAAGACGGGCGACTGACCGGGCACCGGACGGGTCCCTGACAGAAACCGGCCGCAAAAGTTTATGAATATTAATGAGAGCCGCCGGCCGGAGCACAAGCAGGCCCCGACAGGGAGCCGTAAAGGAACATTTAATTGTGACCCTGACAGTACGGCGCACGCTCGGCGTCATGACGCCGGCCGGCGTCTACGCCGAGGACATGCCGAACGGGCGCCGTTTCAAATGTGACCTAAGCATTAGGAAGCCATTAATGTAGCAGAAACGCAGCAAGATACGCAGCAACATATCAATTGCCTTCCAACATCTGCTGACTATGAAACAGAAGATTGCGGTAACAAAATGAATCTCGCGGTTTTTAATGAACTGATACAGGAACGCGACACAGTGTGTGTTGTTGGTAAACAAACGCCTCAACTCTCTTTTCAGAACGTATTTAATTACATGATGCAGGATCTTTTCAGCCTGCTCCACAGCACAAAATGTCAAGAGAAGGACACCCCCGCCGGCTCAGTGAGCTATTCCAGACAGGTGCATAGTGGGTAACAAACATGGCCGCGCCCTGGCAAAATGTGAGCCGAAGTTTCACTTTCGTCAGGTTTAATGGACATTTTTGCTAACATTAGGCACTTTTGCCGGCCTTTCGATAGCCTAACGGTTGTACCATGAGCCGTAGCGGGCTGAGACGGCAGCCGTTGCACGCGGCAGCGGCGACGAGGCGAGAAGCGCCGCCCGAAGTGCGGCTCGCCCCGGCCGAAGCCTCCCCCTCCCCCGGTCGGCGCAGAGGCAACATGGACGGCGGAAAAATCCGGGGGAAGCCCGTCGGTTTCTCCGAAGACTCCGAGGATCTTGACTCCTCGCAAGATTCCCAGTTAAGTGACTTCAGCGGGGAGGAGTCGACGGGACCGTCTCCTGTGGCTTCACGCACCCGGAGCAAAGACTCGGTCGAGCGGGACTTGTTACGAAAGCGGACCGCCAAATTTAAAGCCGCCGCCAAAGCGCGGGCACAAAATAAGGAGAACGTCGAAACCGTCACGCAAACTAAATCTTCGGCGGCACGAACTTGTACAATTCGTTATGATAGGGCAAAAGTTGACGGTGCAACAACGTCGCCAAAACAAACGACAAACGTAGCTGACTTGTGCATGTATATCGCGATCACGGGGTTTGTTATAGTCGTTCTCACAGCAATAGCTTTGCCGATGTTTCGCAAGGATCAGCACCAGTTGCAGGGTTCGCCGGCCATCGACTCACCCGAGATGTACAAGGAGCACGTGAGAAAGCTGAAGATCATGTTTCCCAATCAGAATAAACGTGCATGGACGGTGAGAATATCAGTGGCTGTGCCATACTTATATCTGACAATACAGTAACTGTTAACATTTGTAAATGCTAAAGAACCTATAGTCTCTGTACAACAAATTCAATATTACTTACCTTGCCTTACTCAAGTCCAGTAATATATCATGGCGTTGTTGTAGATGAATGAAACATACAAGCCAATAGTTAACCTTAGTCATTGATAAACGCATACATTGTATGCATTTAGTATTGGTAGGCAAGTCACCCAACAACCACCTGCCTTTTGCCTACAATTCACTTGTGGTTACTCATATGCACAGAAACTGCACTACAGAAATATACATATATTCACACCCACACAAGTCATGAACAAAAGTTAACTCTCCACTCCTTGTGAATGAAGTAATTTGATACCTCCATGTCCTCCATGTTTCAGGTTGTCGGGGCAATGGGTCGCGCCCTTCTGTACCCGCCTGCCATAATTACCCAGCCTGCCGTGCTGCTGGTGGCGGCCGCGCCGGGAACTCATGACACTGCGAGGTGTGTCGCCAGGCACGTCGCTCAGGGATTTGACAAGAGACCTACAATTGTGCACGGTAAGGGCAGACTGTGTTACACAATCTCTCACAGTCAGGCTAATTGGGCCTCCTACCCGAGACTGTGAACTTTTTTTACACTGTGAGGGGCAGATTGGGCCGCCTCCTCAAGACTGTGTTACACAATCTCACACAATCAGGGGCTGATTGAGCACTAGCCTGTGTTTAAAATAATCTCTCACTGTCAGGGGCTAAAAGAGAGATTTTTACCTCCATGCTTCAACATAGTCTAAGTATAACTCATTCCCATTTCCAGAACTACCAATAGGAGCTCAGGTTTACTAATACTGAACTCAAGTTTGTAACAAAAGCATAATTTTGGAACATCCCCAAAATATCTATTAATCTAGAGTTAGATAGTGAATACTTGATTTGTATTAATAATAATAGATAACACTGCCCTGCTTTTCTGCACTTGTTCCAGAAGTACATTGTTAGCATCAATCCTTGGCTACATGTATTTCTTAATGAAGTCCTCTGGATCCATTTTAGCACACTGGTAACAATTTCCATCCCTCCACAGGTGAGAAGCTGAGAGGTCTGGATGCAGATGAAGCTAAGAAGCATCTAGACGAGGTTCTCCATGCAGGGTTCAGTCAGGGAGGCAAGGCTGCTGTGGTCTACAGTCTACAGGATATCCCTCTACAGGTGTGTGTAGTGGTCCAGTTGGAAACTGAAAATTTGGAAGTTATTTTGATTTGATTTGATTTATTGAAATTGCAACAGTGCAACACACGCGGAACAGAGACAGCTGTTGCTGGTGTTGTGTCCCGTGCATAGAAACACATACTGGACAGACAGTAGTCATTTTCACTTAAGTCTAGTGGGTAAAGTCATGTAAAGTGCCTTTCCCAAGGGCACAAGATCGGTGGCAAGTCAGGCAGGACTCGAACCCGGGACCTCTTGATTCCCTATTCAAAGGAATAAATGTTCTGAAACAATGTTGTATCCAGAACCATGCTTGATCCTAACACTGACCCATTCAGACATAGCACTAGATAGACATGGTTATGGGTACAATAACCACACCACATGTACATTTCAGGCCAACCTAATCTTCCACTCCTACTGTGACAACACCAACGCCCCCTACAAGGAAACAGCCATCATCCTGGTACTGCAGCTTGAAGAGCCCATCAGCATGGACCGGTCCAACTCAGAGATAGAGGGGGAGGTTTTGGACAGGTTACAGAGCCACTTGGGGAGGGGCGGGGTTCTAGACATAGACAAAGTCGGAGCCTTGATGAGCAGAATGGCAGGGTTTGTGCTTGTGGTGGACAAAAACGACGATTTACCAACAAGCTGCTCTTAGCAGAAATAAGACTGGCTGTGAAATTTAAGAAGGAAGTATAGCTGTGATATTTGATTGTTATCAGATAGCATTAGTCTGTGCCATGCTGCTGGTAATCGTCAGAAGTTTAATCTCAAACTTGCTGGAGAGTCAAGCATATTTCTCGCCTTAGAATCTACCACCACTTTGTACTGTGACCTGAGAACATTGACAGGTCATGAAATTTAATCTGTGCTGGTATAAGTTGCTATGAAGTAAAGACTAAATTTTTCTCTAACACTGGAATGAATTGGGACTACCCAAGGTTTAGTCTTTGCTTTATAAGGCTACTACAGAATCGTGCAATGATGGACACAGCAGTCTGCTTCTGAATAGTCCTTTAGAGCTTCTGTGCAGACTTGGGAGAGATACTTTTTTTCTGTGTGAAGCCAGCTTTGCAGTATTTTAAATAGTTATGGGTGACTTAAATAATGAAACTGTTGTCGTCAAATTGAGTAGGCTGAGGCCTCCTTAATGTGCTATTATTAGAAAAAAAACGGCTGGACTTGAAAGTTGTAGATGCAAAGCTTCGGTAAGAGAAGTTGTTATCGAAACTTATATGATCAGCCTTACTGCATTCCTGCGAAGCTGGTGTGCTCTATCTCGAAATTCAGTTATATGGCCAGTTTTACTTGGCTATTTGTACCAGAAACATTTGCTTCAAGAGCTGTATAGTTTTATACTGGACTAAAATATGTATATGGTGAATCACTTGTGTTCTGTGTGTAAATAAACAACTGCAGACGTTGGATTGTAGTTGTGGTTTACATGTATTCTTCATACTTACATACTTCCCATGTTATTGTGTATATGGTCATTTAAAAAAAAGGCTCTTAGGCATTTTCATCTTTAACTTATGGATAGCATATAAAACACCCCAAAGCACATGTAATGAGATCCGTTAATAAAAAAATCTGTAATCTGTATTTTATTGCTAATACATCAACAGCGCTCTCACCTTTGAATACAATCTAAGGTCACATGGCAGCCATTACAAGCATAACAGGTCATTATTGGTTAATTTTTGACGCGATGCTGGTTTCGTCATAGCGAAAGCAAGGTCCACTGTTCAAAATAAACATAGGAGCGGCCGCAACAACTTTGCGGAAGTAGCGATCGCCAGAAGTGTGCAGAAATATATGGAAAAGAAAGAACCATGTTCCTAATGTTTCTGTTGATCGTTGGACAACTTGGAGCTTCTGCTGAACACAGAGGCGCCGGTGAGTAGATGATACACCTGTTTTTTAAAAGAGTATTACCCTCCTGCGTAGACTTCTAGCGGGGGAACGTTTGTGTTTCTACGTGCGACTAGAGCTGCGGTTTCTATGGGGAGGGCGTATTCAGGGGGATAGGTATATGTCACCTGCGCTAGAGGTGTAACTACTGCAGCAGAGAACTTCAGCCCGTGTAAAAAAGATTGCGTAGCAGCGCCCCCATGGAATATAAACGACGCCGCCCTATATAAGCTAGTGAATAAAGCTATAAGAGTATAACGGCGAGTTCCTCTTAATCGGTAAAGTGTTTTAAATGATACGTACCTACATGTATCTGCGCAGGGTAGATAATGACTGTTGAGCCAAAATTCTATACAGGATAAGCTAGGTTTTGCATTATTCAATGGATAGGTAATAAGTTCTGAAAAGTAATGTTCTTTGAAACTGTGCTGTTAATTTTGTATTTCTGCGCTATTGAGACCCCTGACCTCTCCTCTTGAACGATTGAAAAGCGGCCACGGCCGATAGTGTATAGTCAAGGTTAAATTAAGGTCGAAAAAATGAATTAAGTCAAGGTAAGAAATATGTTTAGTACAAGGATTATGGTAACGTGATATGTCATAATTTAGAAATCCTATTTGCTGTGTGTGCATTTGATAAGGGGGTAGCTATTTCGTTACTTTGTTATTCCAAAACATAATTGTGTCATTTTATTAATAGATAGATAAAGCCTTCTAAAGGCCAATTCTAGCTTTGACCCTACATAAAAAGAATTGACCTCTTAACTGTGTATTGGTTTCAATTCCGAGAAAAGAACCGCAAATGGCCGGTCATATTGACTTTATGACGCGCGTCGACCAGGGTCCGACTCGCGCCCCATAACATGAGACAACGTCGCGCGTTGAGTCGATACAATGTTTGTGTTGTGTTAATAATAGGATCATTAGGTACATACATGTGTACACACATAATCGTGTATGTGGCCTCTAACTGTTTGCAATTAGACTCCACCAGGCTTTCTTAAGGGGACTGGGATAGTAGAATTCGGCAAAAATAGGCACTGACTAGCCAAGGGAGTGGGTTATAACTTCACGCGAACATATGAAATCTATGGCGGGTAAAATCCCCCGTTGAACATAATTATCCTCTTTATTTGGTTGGTTACCTTCAGTGCACAATCATACCCTGATGAAGAGGACAAGGTCGAAAAGTCAGCTCTTGTTAAACAAGTGGTTGTGAATTAAGAACTTTGCTATTCAAATATTCACCAACCTGAGGAAGTTATTCATCATCTGAGTCTTGCAATGTTGTTTCAGACTCCTGTCCCCTGGGGACTACACAGCTCCTAACGGACCCGATCGGAAACATATCCAGCCCCGGCCGCTACCCGGACTTCTACTCCAACAACGAGCACTGCGAGTGGAACATCCGGGCACCGGAGGGGTACACCCTCAAGGTCACGTTCAAGGGCGTCGAGCTGAGCGCGACAGGGGATCCGAGGAGGTCAAACTATGTCGTTATGTATGATAAGAGAAAAGGCGACGACAATCTATTGTACAGGTAAAGCTCGAGCCCATTGTGAACTAGTAACGACTTGCCATGTATTGTGTTGAAAGTTCAACTGAAGTAATTCTGAAACAAATTAGATTTTTGACTGATAAATATCAACGCCAATCGGTTGTGCTTATGTAGCTGGAAAGTTAGATCCGCCCTGTGACGTTACGTTACGTTATGCAGATATGTGACTAAAGTAGATAGTTAGTGGCACCCCCCGTCTCTATTGGGGGATAGTTGTAATGTCTTGATGTACATGGCTGAACAATATTAACGCTGTATGTGGATACATGACTCAGTAAGCAGAAAGTCTGTGGCGTCCTCCGTCTCTACTGAGGGATGTGGATGATTTCCTTGTATCTGAGCAATAACACTCACTGTCTGATTTGTTGTACCTGTATAGATGGACAGGAAAATCCACCATGCACCGCCCTGCGCGTCCGGACCCGATCATCACCTACAGCAACCAAGTCTTCATCATGTTCGACGTCTTCGGAGAGGAAGACAATGTCAATTTGGAGGGATTCTATCTGGACTATCGCTGTAAGCTGTATTTTAGGACTTGTATTGATAATGCAAATGCTTACCATGTATAGATAATGCTTTATCATGCATGGCATACCTATACCTGTTTTTGTTTCAGTTACTGCTATTATTCAAATGGACAAATGCAAAGTGAGCTGCACAAATGTAGATCGATACCGTATATAATTCGTCCTACTCCTCCAGAGAAAAACAATGGTATTTGTAATATTTGAAGCTACATACTAGTTTCAGACCACTAAATGTTACCTCCCCCACTCTGCAGTTCTACCAGCAGGAACCCCCCATCCCGGAGAGTGTGTGGACTACGGACCGATCCGGAACGGCCGGATATTCCCGCCACACGGGCCGTACAGGATACAAGACACGGTACGGGTATGCAGCTCAGTGTTCGTAGCCTCTCGGGTGGAAAAAAACAGTAGAAATATTTTTGATTGGTCAAATAGTATGAAAAGCATACTAGAGGACTTAGCCAACTACCAGTAGAGGGTTCAAATTAGTCTTTGCCAACTAACTCATTTGGTATTTAGTCTATTTAACCAATTTTTCAGTGATGCCTGGTAGCGCTTAAGTGTTTTGTAGTCATATCTATCCATCCATCCATCTATTTATCTAGCTATCTGTCTGTCCGTCTGCCCAGACGTGTCTGTATCTCCATTTATATATCTATAGCGAGCAAGGGAAAATCTCTTGTTTTTGCTGTGACTGTAGTTGCGGCTGGAGTGTGCGAGTGGGACGGAATCCGCCTCCCCGGTAGGCGACCTGCTGCAGTGTGAACAGAAGGGGGACAACAGTTTCCCCAGATGGGAGCTCGAGGCTGGCAAACTGCCGTCTGATATGGCCTGCAAAGGTAACGTAAGCTCGATTCAAATTCCACAATTGGTTTACGTAAACTATGGAGATTTCTACCGGATGTTTCGAGTGACATCCTCTACTCTTTTTCAGTGTCACTAAATGGACTGACAGAACTAGTCAGCACTTTTGTATAAGGAACTTGAAAACTGGTTGAACATGAGCCAGTAACTTCATCATCTTTTAAGCTAGTTTTTGCTAGTTCATTCTAGTGGTGCACCGGTGCTGAAGTTTGAATGGTCTGTGAGTCTTGCTTACCTACAATGTATATCAACGTGCTAACTGCATCAAGTGATTTCAAGATATCTATAGTAATGCAGCATCATTCTGCATTTTCAAAGTGACACTGATCATAGACTACATGGTGGAATTATGATAGTCGACGCGTTACCAGTTCTTTCTGACGAAAAGCATAATTGTTCTATGGACTATAGCAAGACTACCAGTCAGTACAGCTAGACAGCATTAAACTAGTACAGTCCACAGTCAATTCTAAGCCATACAATGTTCATATTCACATAGTCACATAGTTACACATATGCACAGTCATCTTCGACGACAAAGGACTACCAAGAAGAATGTGTAAGGCAGAGCATTTTATAAGACTATTGACTAATTACTTCATTAGTATACTACAGTCTAATAAAGTGCATGATTTGTTCCACCATAGCGAGGTGCAGAGGTATTGACGAGAGTAGCGCGTACGGAGCCCTGCGCAGTCCCGGCTGGCCAGACCCGGACCATGAGGAGCCAAACGGCAACTGTCAGTGGATCATCAACCCGAAGCCCGGCTACGGGCTGAGACTCCACTTCAACAGCACAGACTTCAGGACTGATGAAGAGTACATAGAAGTGAACGGTAGGTTTTCTGTAGTCTTCCTTAGGTTTTCTATATGGTCTTCCATACTAACAATGCGAACTGAAAACTTGTACACATTTAGCCAAATAGACTGTCAGTAGACCATCGACCCGAAGCCCGGCTACGGGTTCAGACTTTTCAATAGCACAGACTTCAGGACTGATGGAGTACATAGAAGTGAACGGTAGGTTTACCATAACTTTCACAACACCCATGCTTTGTCCCCATCAGGCGGACAGCTTTACCTCAATTATCGATATACGAATCCAGATTCGCGCAAATATTAAATCTTAGCAATGCAACTGTTCCCGAGGTCAGCCTCTGCTTCTGGACCAAAAGGTTAGGAGTTCAAATCCCGACTATTGTCGCTCACCCGACATGCACGCTACTGGAAAGGGTCGCAGCCCTTGGGAAGGGACGTTAAGCCGCGTGGTCCACTGTTCATTGTGCTTGTCGAAAAGAGTTAGGGGAATTTCCCCGATAGAATGAACCTGTAAATACTGTACATAGCGCCTGTCTTTTCTGTTGCTCTTCAGTGAGCGAAAACGGGATCGAGATCCCTTTCCGTTTTCCCAGGTCGCAATTTGGACTGCCAGCTGAACCAGAACCTGCCTTACCCTGAGGGAAAGACGCTCGAGGCGAGCCCTCAACAAGACTCCGGGCGGGTGACAGTTGCGTACTACGGCAGACTCATCAGGGGGTCCAGTGTTGAGATCTTCTTCTCGTGTAAGTGCTGTTGTTTTTACCTTCGCAGAAGTAGGCGAAAGGCGGACTGTTTTGCTGTGTTTATCCTTCTTCTAAAAAGAAAAAAAAATAATGACATGGGCCAGACATGGTACCTAACTGGTACTGTATGTAGCAGACACCCTTTGTTGTTGGATTACATTATGTAGCAAGTGGTAGAACAGAGTTGGAGGGGTTGGTCACCATATATGAATGCGTTGTTGTATCTAGAACCGTGCATTATCCAGCTAACCACGCTCACACCTGGTGCAAATTTTATACGTTCTTTGATATCCGTAGACTATCCAGAACCGAGCCTGATTCTAACCCTAAATGTGTGTGCTACCGTAGTGATTAGGATTTGGTGTCGCCAACGTGCTATATCTGCACATTTGTCACTAAGAAGAATTGTACCTTTTTTCATGCTATTTATGTAGCGGGCTACTGCAGCGATCCCAAAAATATCCACCGCGGGTCGCGGGAGGATTTCTCCTCCGCGCCAACCGCCGAGCGTGATGGGAAGGTTTTCCTGCCGGGAGACCACGTGACGTACTCGTGTGACCCTGGGTACGAGTTGGTCGGACCGGCGACTCTGACCTGCACACAGGGAACGGTCTACAAGTACCAGTGGGACAACCACAGACCCTACTGTAGAAGTAAGGACCATGCTGGTCACATATGTCGTACGATGGTCGTACGATAGTCGTGCGATAGTTGTACTATGGTCGTACAATCGTTGTGCGATTGCAAGCTGAATTTAGTTCTTGGAGTAGACGTAAATATGCCGTGCTAAATTCAGCTGTCTTGTTAGGGAGAAGGCTGTCTTAGACCCTTGTTGATGCCTGGTTCAGTCACAGACACCTTACGACGAATTTGACCACGCCTTTAGTTACAATGTAACATACATTTTGCTGCGTTGAAGTTTCAACATAACACCTTTTAATTTTCTATACATTGTACATTGATCGGAGAAGGTGGCTGTGTGTGTATGTATATATATTGCATGATCGCAAACAAAAGTCCATTTTGCTTTTGTGTTTTGAGTCATCATCATTTCTCAACTATTGACTCCACTGCATGCCTGAACCTTCAGAAGCCAGCTGGCCGCCCTGTGTTGCCCCTACTCCAGTCCCCGAAAACGGAGCTCAGCAAAGCCCGGACGGATATGACGTAGGCAGCACGGTGACGTTCACTTGTAACCCCGGATATTACGTCAGCGGCTCCCAGGCGAGAACGTGCGGCCCCGGACCGGGCGGTACCTTGGTGTGGAGCGGGATGCAACCGACATGTGTCTGTAAGTTCGTAAGTTTGCCTCCTTAGCAAACTCTCTCTCTCCCCCCCCCCTCTCTGTCTTTGTGTGTGTGCGTGTGTATGTTTGTGTTTCTTTGAGCGTGTGTGTGTATATGTGTTTGTGTGTGTGCCAGTGCTTGTATGTGTCAGTTCGTGTGTATATGTGTGTGTGTATGTATGTGTGTGTGTGTGTATGTGTGTGTTTGTGTGTGTGTGTGTGTGTGTGCATGTGTGTGCGCGCGCGCGTGTGCGTGACGGGATTATACTAGTACTGTGTGCAATGCTTTTTTTCTGAATCATGAAGAAATGCGTGGCATATGAGTGGTGGTACCGTCATCCCTCACCGTATCCAGAACCGTTCCTATTTTATGCCTGAATCGGTTAGGGTTAGGATCAGGCACGGTTCTGGATGGTCTACGCGTATCCAAGAACGTAGATTTGCCCCAGGCACGGCTCTGGATACGCATTGACTATCCAGAATAATGGCTTGGGAAGATTTGCATCAGGCAGGTTCTTGATAAAGCACGCGGTTCTGGATACACCAGCTGTATCACCTGTGTTGTTTTCTTCACAGCCACGCCTTGTAAAGTGGTGCCCGCCGCGCCGGCTCATGGACACGTGACCACGATGGAGCTACAGGACCCAAGCAGGTACGTGGCTGTGTTCGAGTGCGACCCGGGTTACGTCATGACGTCAGGATCACCTGTGCGCACCTGTCGTGATGATGGCACGTGGGACGGGGAAACACCAGTGTGTGGAGGTAAGACACGTTTCAGCACCGTATATGGTTTGAGGCGACTCTTGATCTCATGACAATATCAAAAGCCACTCTGTTGTTCTGCATTGCAACTGGTTGCCGGAGAGAGGGAGAGTGCGTGAGTGAGAGAGAGAGGGGCAAAGAGAGAGGGAGAGAGAGGGTGGGAGAGAGAGTGTGTGGGTGGGTGAGATAGAGACAGAGAGAGACAGAGAAAGTGAGAGACAATGCGTTTTCTCTAGTATTATTTGTCATAATGCATATAGTTATAGAGATATTCGATAGTGATGATTTGGAAAAAGCAATTCTTATGGTTCTGGAACGTAAATTTGTGAATCATGGCGTTCAATAAAAGTGACAATAAAACTCTTCCAAACGGTTCGATCGACAGGACCTGGCACCACGCCGCTGCCAACACCGGCGATCCCAACTACAGCGCCCGGAACGACAGTCTCACACACCACGAGCGGACCAACCACTACAGATGAAACCACAACCACGACAGAAATAACAACCACCCCGAGTGGAACTACAACCGTTGGCGAAACAACTGAGGACGCTTTTACCTTGTCGCACCCTTCCACCGTCGCTATCTCAACTACACAACTAGAAACCACGACCGTAGACAGTACTACACAACGGACAACCGACATCACTACAACTGACTCCTCCTTTACTACACATCCCACTACAGGCCATCCCTCGACTGTACCTCTTACGTCATCAGGGACAACGGAAACAACATCGTTAGCAACAAGTAAACAAACAACGACCGCCGAAATAACGACACATTTGACAACGCAACAGAGGGAATCAACAACGATAGCGAAAACTACGGAACCAGATGCTTCAACTCTGGGAAAAATAACTAAAACAATTCCAACAGAAGCATGGACGGGTACAACAACGTCAAACACACCGACTGCGACACCCACTTCTAATGCAACAAAAGGTACGCAAACTTTGAATTAGAGGGGGTTGAAACTGATTTCTTATATTCTTATTGTATTTGGCATTGTATTTTTTTTAACTTTTAGGATTACTTAATTATCATTTCAGGGCCACCCGCGAAGCTGAGACAAACGGTAAACACAGGAGCGGCGATCGGTAAGAGTGATGATGTTATTGAACCTTTTCTTGTAATCACAAAAGCTATTATCTAGATGGGTAGATCTTGCCGAATGTTCCTTCCAGATACTCCCCAAGCAGATATTTCGGTGGCAAAATCGTAACCATCCGACAAAGCAGTACTGACAGTATCACAATGGCGGCTGGACACTGCCCGGCCAATTTGATACTGCAGCTTTGTCGGTTGGTCACTATTTTGCCACCGAAGTATCAGCTTGGAGATTACCTTACAGCTGAACAAATTAATGAATGAAGAAACGGAGGAACAGGAAAATTTCGTTTCCCACAGGAGGAAGTGTCTCCGCCGTTGTGCTTGTAGCTGCTGTTGTCGGCAGTGTTTACTGCTACCGCAGACGGCTGGCCAAGGAGGGGGAGATGAGTGACTGGCACTGGCTGTAAGTCATTAAACTTACAATAGCATCTTCTCCTTTATCATTTGGTCAAATTAATTGACTGTTGCCACAGAAGGTTTTATTTGTGCATGAAGCGTTTTGTAGCAAATTATAGTAAAAAAATCTGATTAAGATAGCAGGAATTCCTGTTCTCCAATTTAAAAGAGTTACCAAAATTTCCAGGGGGACGGTATCGACTTCCGATTAAATTTGACCCATTGATGACGTCACACGTGTGATTTGTGTACGTAGATAATTCATTTGATTTGGGGAACAGTTTAAAGGATCTCATAGGTGGTGAAGTTGTTTAATTCGTTTTTAATATCCAGACATATGGACTCCAGCCAGCCGTATCGATCCACAACGCAGCCGGAGACAGGTCACGTGGAAGGTGAGAGACAAAAAAATTTGCCTTAGAAGAAGAAACTTTGAATACCGTTTAGTCTACTTGTTTGTTTGTTTGATTGTTTGTTTGTTTGAGTCTTTGTGTATACATGAAACACTGAAATCAGCGTGCTGGTCACGTTTCTCTGAGATAATGAGGGAAGAGGTCAGCTTAAGACAAAATATAACAATATGCAAGATACTGGGTACAATCTTATAGTAACTACAGCCGATCATGTAACAGTGAGCTCAAACCAAAGCCTTGCTTGCTAAAACTCAAATTCATGGTTATACAATGACTATGCTCAGGCACGGTTTAGGATAGTCCACGCGTATCCAACCGTGCATATCTACGTCATTGGATAGGCGAAGACTATCCGGAACCATGCTTGATCCTAAGCCTAGCCCAGTTAGGCATAGAACTAGATAGGTACGGTTTAAGTACAAGGCTATATGTTTATCCATGTAATGACCCCATCTTGACACAGCACAAACATTGTATCGACTGTACGTGCGCGCGACAAAAAGTGAACATGACTGGAATGGGCGGGTTACAATATATTTATACGTACACTGATTTCTTTTATTTCCTCACTTTCCCAGAGCCCTTTTCTCTGGACGGCGGGCTTCTGATGGATGACATCACATCCATGGTGATAAGTGACGCCCCTTGGGGACACAACCCTGCATTTCAGGACGATTAGTCGCCTCCAATCTGATGTTGGACACAGTTGATGTATATACATATGTACACATGTATCAATGTGGAGATTGCGATCTGGCAAAATCAATGATTCAGAAGATCAGAAGAGATCGCGATCGGAGTGTCTGTTGATAGAGATTCTAACCAGGATGCTAGGAATGTGTTATTAGGGCGGTATCTCAGTGTTACTAATTTTTGTACCCATGTATACAAATTGATACTGTGGGTGAATTATGCTATTTCTACTGTATGTATATATACCTTTTATCTTATTTGGTTTACATGGCAGCCTAAGTTACTAGATCCCGCAATGGTGTACACACGTCTTTCAGTAAGACATAAACTGTGTAAGCAAAATTAACCAAGTCAGCCATGTAAAACAGCTATTTAAAAAAAGCATCTAAGCTGTGGAATGAAACATACAATTAATGTTATGTACTTGTAATTTTCTACATATCTTTTGTTCATTTCTTAACATATTGTATATATGTTGTCAGATAAAAGCCGTGCAATACAGTATGACAAAAATTTGTTTACGCAAAGTCAGCCATGTAAAAACAGACAAGATGGGGGAATATGTGACCTATGGCATGACACGTACAATAAAATGTCCTTTGCTTGTAATTTTTAAGTACACATTGTGAATAGAAACGCGATTTCTACACTAAGTTGAGAGTGCGATTTATTTGTAAGACAAGCGCTTAGCCATTCACCATAAGCCTTAACAGGTGGTTGGAGGGGGCCCTATGGGGTCTTTGTTTTTCCACGAATCAGGTACCTGACCCAAGCAAGTAGCGTCAGCGCTGCAAAGACTGCGAGCCAACTTTGGCTAAATATCCCACTCCAAATTTACTATTTAAGATTAAGGAGAAGGATGATAACGTTAAAACAAGGGAAACGTTTGTTAACACGTCTTATACCCGCTACCAAGGAGCCATTTGGTTGGTTTCGGTGTTACCTATGGGGCCTTGTAAACCCGGAAGTGACCCCCAGAAAATGGCGGTGGCGTTGTTGACATGAGAAAATCCCTTCGCTTCGGGCATTTTTTCGGTGGAGGGGGCGGTCCAGTACCTGTGTGTAATTTCTACAGTACAATAGGATATATCGCTATAGAAACTGCGGTTTGCGTTAAGCCTTAGATAGCGTGGTTTAGTTGGCAGACTGCGTTTGTTTGCGTTAGCGTGTGGCTGTTTTTCACGCGAGCTCTCTGGACTTTTCTGGTCTGCAAGTGTGACCGACTTTCGGAGATTCTAGACCGCCGAGGAACGTTGCCAAGCTGACACGTCTGTTTTGGTGAGAGTTTACTTTCTCTCTGTTAGCCTGTATCGGTCATGTTTTGATTTGATAGATTTGGATTGTGACAAATACAAACCTACCCGGAAAGAGGCAGCTCTATTGCTGGTGTCGTGACCCACACACACAACATCACACAGCATAGCAAGACATACATTGTACAGAGACCTGCTCTAAAAATCATAAACAAAACAAATGCGATTTAAAAAGCAGCATACGTTCTGTCAAGTTCCAGAGCTCTAGAGAAAAGTCACGGTGACTTGGGATGTCAGTGTCAGTGTCAGTGTTGCGTGACCCCCCCCCCCCTTGTGTACAAAATAGAAAGGTAAACAGGATATAATTTGTAGTGCAGCTAAGTGGCCAGTGTCTAGTGGTTGACATCTAACCGTAAGCAGGTGAGAGACGGCACAGTCTTGTTGTGTAAAAGAGAATATCCTATGTTGTACTATTTTAGTTCCAATCGGACTTCACCCCTAATGTTTATACCACTTTTGTACGGGATTCCACTCTTCAAGAAGAGTTATCACATAATACGCCTTACATTTGAGTGACAGTTTTCCGCCAAGAAATCGAAATATGAAAACGACTCACTCTTTTGGAACATGAAAATTACCCCCTCCTTTGGCAGAATGCACTCAGGTATGTAAAACTAAATGTGACAAGTGTGAAATTGAAAGTAATTGCAGGACTGTTGTACTTTTGCATACCTTCACAATCGTGCACTTGGTGCGTCCACAAAGGGAGTGGCGCGTGATTAAGGTACTAATGAGATGTTTCTACCGCGTCAGAAAAATGCCTTTGACAGAGTTTTGCCTCTAGTGTCATATCCATGAATAGATGCATTCAGCCGTTATTAAGATGCAATATTTTAGGGAAAAGCTGGTAGAAATTGTACTTATAACAAATACTGCGCTTCAAAATGTTGGCAAATGTTACCTACTATTATCATTTATGACACCATATACACCGAGGAAAAGGCGGTGCATTAACGTTATTATCATATAGCCTATCCAAACTGACACAATGAATCAACACAATTCCTGTTCAAAACATTAAACCTTTAATATTTACATAACAATACATTCCAAAATATTATAATCATGGTTTGTACTTTAAAATAAATATGGAGATCATTTTACAATAAATATAGTTTACAAATTGCTGTCAGCCATTCTAAAATCATAATATTAAAAACAAAAGTCTTGTTTATTCATTTTCCACTACACCCACAGGATGTTGATAATAATACTGACTTCTCCGAGACTCCAGCTACCAATAACATATTGGCACACTTATCAACATTATATTCTAAATCAGAGAATTTGCTGTAAAATTCCAGTTCAGTACAGGGCTGTTATAAATTTGGCAGCCTGTCGATATTACAGTAACAATAACATTAGCAAAACAAATGTAATTCTATTCCTGCTAATCACTTGAAAAAAGAACACACCCACCTTTCAAAAGCTTCACTCCCCACTTGGTTGCCCTTTCAGTAGTTTTTTCAACTCGCCCCTCCTCTATCTCGCCAAGTTGTTGTTCGTTCAGACACGCGAAACGCACCCTGCTGACCTCTGTCTCCGGTGTAGCTTCCAGCGTCTGTTCCTCGACCTCCATGGGTCCAAATATCTCATCTAAATCCGCGTCTGTTATCTCTTCCATGTAGAAATTAGGCAAACTCTCCATGACACAAGAAGGCAAGATGGCGGACCAAAAAAAATAAATCGTCGGATCCCTGGTCTGATTCAGTCAGGTGATGTGGGCGATACCACTTTTTGTAGGGGTGTCAAAATAAGTATGGTTTTTGCTCTCCCGTTCAAATTCTATCTATTTACATATACATTTCATACTCACACACATTTTAGTTTATATGAAGCTTAAAAAAAAACATAATTTTTGTCCGACCAGGAAACTGCTATGAATATTAACAGAAAGAGCTGTGTACCCCTATATCATTATGGTTTCACCCATGGTTTATGGAGAATAACGCACGGCTGAGCCATGGTTTATCGGAGAATAAAGCACGGGTAACGGAGGCCTCTGATTGGTCTACGCCACCCGGCTATATGATAATAAAGGGTTAATGCACCGCCCCGAGGTGTATATGGTGTCATAAATGCATGGTCAGCTGCTATAACCACCGAATAAACCACCGAGTGAGCGAAGCGAACGAGGTGGTTTATGAGGTGGTTATAGCAGCTGACCATGCATTTATGACACCATATACACCGAGGAAAAGGCGGTGCATTAACGTTATCATCATATAGCCTATCCAAACTGACACAATGAATCAACACAATTCCTGTTCAAAACATTAAACCTTTAATATTTACATAACAATACATTCCAAAATATTATAATCATGGTTTGTACTTTAAAATAAATATGGAGATCATTTTACTAATAAATATAGTTTACAACTTTACACGCGTCCCGCGGAAAAAAATATTGATAACAAAGATGGGGGAGGGCAAAAATCAACACGTTCGTACGGTACCGACTTGTAGCACAAAACTCACCCTACAGGAGCTCTGTCGTCTGCACAGGAAGAACGGGAACCCTACACTGACTTGTTGGTGGGTAACGGGAACTATACGAAAGCACAGACAGGAAATACTCGAGATAAGGGAGCGGGATGGCGGACGGCATGAATCACAGCCGCTCACAGACGCGCTCTGCCTGGCGTCCAACTCAGCTGGCGTCTGCCAATTCCAATTGATAAC